GTGGATTGTCTATTGTCATTTATCACATCTACTTAAATCTTTGATAAAATTCTGAATGAATTTTATCTATTTCAATTTAAAGAATATATGTTGCCAGTAAACTATTAAATACCCATCCAATGATAATCTTATGTCTTCTTCTCTTAAAGTACTGTTAATTCTATGAATATCTTCAAGATAGCCTCATACTATAATAATAGAACAACCTGCATAATTTATAATTCACTTAATTCTCTAATTGACAATTTATTTAGATATTTGAACACTATTAGAGTATTCGTGAAAGAATTTTCCAATGTAAGAATAGATGCCATAAAAATGACAAGTGTCCACACGCTTTTGACCTTTGTCAATAATTACAATTCCTATCCACCTTTGATCATTAGGAGAAGGTGTTCGAGTACCAGTGAACGGAGGAAACGCAGACGTGATCCTCACTTCCGCGGTGGAAGGCCAAGGATTCGTTAGTATTGATGGGAAAAGAACGTATATGAATCTATTTGAGAATTCTGATAGAACTTCGACGCACGTGCAACAGCAACCTCAACCAACTAGGACTCAACCACCCGCCATTGTTGGCACAGGGTCAGTGTTTTTTGCAAATTTTTGATATGAATTTCAAATTGAAAAATTATTGAATATAAAATTGATTCTACTTTCGGATCTTCAAAATTGTCTAAGTAAATTCTACTTTCAGATTTCTGAATTCCATTTTTTAACTTCTAATATTCCGAACTTCAAATATTTAACTCTCAATCTAAGAACCAATTCAAACTATTTGTTAGCACAAAGTTGCAATTTACATTATCAATGTTATATTTATAAAAAAAATTTCAAAAATTTGCTTAATATCCTTTTCACTGAAGAAACCATCATGAACTATCGTTTGGTCCTCGATAGATTAGGCAGAAATTTTCGAATAAAAATCTTAAATTTTCTCTCACAGGTTTGCAGTCGCACAGCCAGATCCACCGACAGCAACCCCACGACCCAATGGGTCTATTCGAAGGCCAACGTTTCACAGAAGGCCGACTCAACCTCCAGTTAGAATTGACACTTGTATCGTGGGCGATACGAGCACTTGTGACATCAGTCAGCACGAGGCTTGCGCCACTGTTCAAGGAGTATCCGCATGTCACTGTAAACCAGGATATGCGAGGCTGCAACATTCCTTACCATGCAAAAGTTCGTAAATGTTTCAAAGCGACCTACCTTCTTTGCGAATTTTTATTGGATGTTAATCAATTTCTGTCGTTTGTAGAAATTATAAGCATCGTGGTATCGATCAGGGTAGATAAGATCTATGATAGGAAAGTCGTCTGGGATCGAGGATTCACCGACAGGGATTCTGAGCCCTATCAAACGTTAGCCTATGAAGCAAATCGAGCTGTGAGTTAATTTAACGTTGAATTTTATTACTGAAAAACCTATAAATATTAATCCCTTGACAGTCTAACAGAATGGAAAATATTAAAAATTGATAATTTAGAAAAAAGACTACTTTTATTATTTTATTATTTCTATTATTTTTACATGTTGCGTTCTTAGATCCACAGTCTACTTGCAATGAAAAAAATCTAAATAGTTAGTTTGAAAATCTAACAAAATACTTTTATATTATATTATAAAATTTCAAAGTAATCCAGAACGAAGATAATCGAGTAGGAAATAAATTTCAAAGTTTCCAAAAAAATAAGTGATAACCACCTTCCCTGTGGGCTACTACTACTACTGTCAAGGGACTAAACGATAAATTCTTCCTGTTACCTAGATCGAATCTGCCATGTCAATGACACCGTTTTCGGACGAGTATATGGGTTCGTTCATAAATGGAGTGTATCAGGGGGATGTGAGCCAAGGGCAAGGAGGTGTCTTTGTGAATGCAACCTTGAAACTCACTTACGAGCCAAGAACAATTAGATCAAGCTTAGCAGGAGAGCTGCAGAGACATCTGCTCGGTGTTATTCACAGAAGGAGCAACAATATAGGGAACAGCGCTCTTTACGTTGACAGTCCACCTGGATCTATATCAAATTTGCAAGGTGAACATAAAAAAAAAAAAGAAAAAAAAAAAAAGAGTATGACTAAATTTAGAAGCAATAAAAATCAAACGATACCTTGTCATTTCTATAGACTTAGACGAGTGTGCATCGTCGGAACTGAACGACTGTCACTCCTCGGCTGTCTGCACGAATAACTGGGGTGGATTTACTTGCACTTGCAATCCTGGTTTGAAAGATCCTCATAAGGACGATGCTAATGAATCTGGCAGGACTTGTATTTCGTGTCCCTCGACTTACTGCAACAATCGGGGGTCGTGCTCTTACCAGGGCGACCACATGCAGTGCACGTGAGTAAATTAAATCATCTAACAACAGAAAAAAAGAGGGGGAAAAAAATAATGGTAACTTTAATTAATTTTTAAATTAAAATAAATTAATTAAATTAATTTTTCAAGGTGCACTGGTAATTATTATGGTGCTCAATGTGAAGTCGATGGAGAGGTCTTAGGGGTTGCGATAGGAGCGTCCGTAGCAGCTTTAATAATTATAGTTTTGACTTTGATCTGTCTGA